GAAACAGAACCTGAAGCTGTTCTGTGGAAGTCAGCAGAAGTTGACAAAACTGTGCAGGTTGCAGCAACCAGAAATAATTCCATTTTACGCCATACTCATTTAGCCCAAGCTGCATGCAACTCGAACACTTATCACTATCGGTCGCAACATTTCAAAAACACCGATGGATCTAGGAAGCAAAGCAAGAGTGCGTTTATAAGTTTCATCAAGTCTGCCCCTTTAGTAGCTGAACCAAACCCTTGAAGGGAGGCAAAAATGAAAACAGAAAGGCGAGAAGACATTGGAACTACCGCTTTGAGATACGTTATTTACAAAGAACGCGCACATTGGAAAATAATTTTAGTTTCAGTTATCTAGAAACAAAAATTTGTAAATGAAAGTAAGAAATTATCCTCAGGCTTTGTTGAACATTCCTGAGCTTGTTCGCATTATCGCGCTAAACATCCATGACGAGCTCTCATCTCCGTGTCCAGGTTCAGGAGAAAAGAAATGCAAGGTCTTTTGGAAAAGAAATTAATTCAGCCTCCTGACCAAAGCCACTGCACTGAAACCAATACTTTTAGGCTAACAAAAAACTTCCGTTTTTTTGATGAGGGATATGTAATTAATGCAGAAATCACTGATCTTAAAAGAACCACGCTTGCTTGATAATTTTAAGCGCCAATAACTAGAGCTTTGGACACGCTCATGTAACATTTAATTCAAAAAACCGATTGAAAAAAATTTCTTTCAAACAAACAAAAACAACCTATTTATATAGCTCCAAGTAGGCATCATTGGAGGAGATGGATAGTTTGCGTCCTAAAAAATTCTTTCTTCAGCTTCTAGCCAAAGTTTAACCATTAGCGTATTAAACGTAGATATAACTAACATTCCGATGTCTAGCAAAAACACACAATAATGAAGACTTCTCTTCCCAACTCAGTAACATAGCTAGGAGCATTTTAAAGGACAAGAAAAAGCAAAACAAACAAGTAGAGCTGTAACAGTACTCAAACTCGAAAGTTGCAATTTAACGCAGTTCAACCAATAGCTTTATTTAGTTAATATTTTATTATGGTGTGCCGAAAAATAAATTTACAAGCGAAAACGTGCATGAAACTTGCAAAAGAAAAAGTTTTCAGATTTTGGAAAAACATTTGTCTAAGCAGTGACGTTTGAAGTCTGTATGTCACTGCTTTCAACGAAGTGTTTTCAAAAAAATCAGCCGCTTTTTAGGACGATAGTGCTGCGGCTGGACATATACTATTTGACTTCTTGATTCAGTTTACTCTCATTTCAACTGCTGTGGCATGCAGGATTCAGCTGGATATGATCGATTTCAAGTGAAATTACAGAAAAAGATAAAGTAGATTAAAGAAATTACAAAACTGATTCATCCAACAAAACAAAGAGCTGCAAAAATTAAAGCTGTGTTTATTGCTTCTTCTCGAACGCATAAGCCGCAAATCTTCTTTTCGCTATGTGATATGATGATACATGAAGCAAAGTTGAGAAAAATAAGCAAAAAT